CCGACGACGGACGACGACGACGCGGGAGGAGGGAGGAGGAGGAAGGACGACCACGGCGATAACGACGACGGAAACGGCCACGACGCCAAAGAGGACGACGACGACGAACAGGAGGAAAGGCACAGGACGACGTAGGCGACGACGACGACGACGACGCGGGAGGAGGGAGGACGGCGACGACGACGACGACGACGACGCCGCAAGAGCCCGCGCGCACGCGTTTGTTGAAAATCCGTGTTGCGAAAGCTTGTGTTTTTGTAGGTTTTTTGGACGCGCGATTTTGAAATCCTTCGGAAACCTATGGGTTTTGAAAGATTTTGGCGTACGCGCGCGACGACGCGCGCGTCTGCACTTCGTCCGATTTCTTGCAGAGGATTCTCGCGACGGCACGCGCGCAAGGGCGTTCGACAGATTTCGACATGCGCGCGCGCGACGCCCGCTTGGTAGCATGTTGTGCAAATCTGGAAAAACCTACAGTTTTGTTAAGATTTCGCAAGAGCTCGCGCGGAAGCTTTTTTAGCACATCAGTGTTAAGAAACAGTGTGTTTCTGCATGTTTTTGGGAAACTCGATTGCGAAATCTTTCTGGCACCGAAGGTTTTTGAAGGATTTCGGCATGCGCGCGCGACGACGCGCGCGTGTGTACTTCGTCTTATCTGTTGCAAGGGATTCACTAACAAGTGTTATGTTAGAACAACAAATGTCACCGCATAGCGTTTTTTACAAGGGAACCTCAGGGGGGGATACCGGTTGGCCTGGGACATTGTTATTTCATAGTTAGGATGGACATGTGGTCATAATCATACACGATTTACATACCCGGAAGGGGACGTGATAACGCCGGGGGGGTAGAGTCTATTCTGTTTTTAGTGATTTTTACAAATGATTTGCACCCACCCACCCGCAACTTGGTTTGCAAAACCTCTTAAGACCGACTACGACGACACCGACGACAACGACTACGACGACACCGACGACGTTCTGACGATTCGACGACGACAACGACGCCGACGCCGACGACGACGAAGACGACGACGACGACGCCAACGAAGACGACGACGAGGGAGGAGGAAGGACGACGACGGCGACAACGACGACAACGACGACAAGGACGAGGGAGGAGGGAGGACGGCGACGACGCGAACGACGAAGAAGGAGGAAGGACGGCGACGCCGACGACGACAACGACGAGGGAGGAGGGAAGACGACGACGACAACGACGACGACGACGACGACGACGAAATAGGAGGGACGACGACGAGACGCCGACGACGGACGACGACGACGACGAGGGAGGAGGAGGAAGGACGCCCACGGCGACAACGACGACAGGAACGACCTTGACGCCAAAGAGGACGACCGCGACGAACACGAGGAAAGACACACGACGACGTAGGCGACGACGACGACGACGCGGGAGGAGGGAGGACGGCGACGACGACGACGACGACGACGACGCCGCAAGAGCGCGCGCGCACGCTTTTGTTGAAAATCCGTGTTGCGAAAGCTTGTGTTTTTGTAGGTTTTTTGGACGCGCGATTTTGAAATCCTTCGGAAACCGATGGGTTTCGAAGGATTTCGGCGTGCGCGCGCGACGACGCGCGCGTCTGCACTTCGTCCGATTTCTTGCATAGGATTCTCGCGACGGCACACGCGCAAGAGCGTTCGGCAGACTTCGACATGCGCGCGCGACGCCCGTTTGGTAGCATGTTGCGAACATCTGGAAAACCCTACAGTTTTCTCAAGATTTTGCAAGAGCTCGCGCGGAAGCTTTTTTAGCACATCAGTGTTACGAAACCATGTGTTTTTGTAGTTTTTTTCTTTTGGAACTCGATTGCGAAATCTTTCTGGCACCGAAGGTTTTTGAAGGATTTCGGCATGCGCGCGCGACGACGCGCGCGTGTGCACTTCGTCCAATTTTTCGCAAGGGATTCGTGAAACAAGTGCTATGTTAGAACAACAAAAATCACCGCATAGTGTTTTTTACAAGGGAACCTCCAGGGGGGGATACCGGCTGGCCTGGGACATTGCGATTTCATATTTAGGATGGACATGTGGTCATAATCATATAGGATTTACATACCCGAAAAGGGGACCGATGATGCCGGGGGGAGGGTAGAGTCTATTCTTTTTTTAGAGAGGAGAATTGATTTTTACCCATGATTTGACACATCCCATGCTCTTGCAAACATCCCACCCGCCCACCCGCAATTTGGTTTGCAAAACCTCTTAAGACCGTGACGGTAGGTACGAAAAGAACCTTGGCAATGACACCGACGCCGACGACGACAGCGACGACGACGACGCCGCCGACGACGACGACGACTACGACGACACCGACGTCTCCGACGACGGCGACGACACCGACGACGACGACGTCGCCGATGCCGACGACGCCGACGATGACGACGCCGACGACGACGACGCCGACGACGACGACGACGTCGACGACGCCGACAACGACGACGACGACGACGGCGGCGACGACGACGACGCCGACGTCGACGACGACGAAGCCGCTGACGACGCCGACGCCGACGACGACGACAACGTCGCCAACGAAGACGACGACGACGAGGGACGAGGGAGGACGACGACGGCGACAACGACGACAACGACGAGGGAGGAGGGAGGACGGCGACGACGCGAACGACGAAGAAGGAGGGAGGACGGCGACGCCGACGACATCGACGAGGGAGGAGGGAAAACGACGACGACGACGACGACGACGGCGACGAAATAGGAGGGACGACGACGAGACGCCGACGACGGACGATGACGACGACGAGGGAGGAGGAGGAAGGACGACCATGGCGACAACGACGACGGAAACGACCACGACGCCAAAGAGGACGACGACGACGACGAGGAAAGACAGAGGACGACGACGGCGACGACGACGACGACGACGAGGGAGGAGGGAGGACGGCGACGACGACGACGACGATGCAAGAGCGCGCGCGCACGCTTTTGTTGAAAATCCGTGTTGCGAAACTTTTTTGTTTCTGTGCACGATTTCGAAGCCTTTCCGAAACTGCAGGTTTTTGAAGGATTTCGGCATGCGCGCGCGACGACGCGCGCGTCTGCACTTCGTCCGATTTGTTGCAGAGGATTCTCGCGACGGCACGCGCGCAAAGGGCGTTCGAAAGATTTCGACATGCGCGCGCGCGAAGCCCGTTTGGTAGCATTTTTTGAAAATCTTGAAAGACCGATGGTTTTAAGATTTCGCAAGAGCGCGCGCTTAAGAAACTCAGTGTTGCGAAACCATGTGTTTTTGCATGTGTTTGGAAACTCGATTATGACATCCTTCCAACACCGAAGGTTTTTGAAGGATTTCGGCATGCGCGCGCGACGACGCGCGCGTCTGCACTTCGTCCCATTTTTTGCACGGAGTTTTGTCAACCTATGGTTTTTGATAAACGAGTGTTGATAACCGAGTGTGCGCGCATAGTCATTTTTTGCAGAGGATGGCGGGGGGGGGGGGCGCGATACCGGCCTGGCTGGGATAGTATGAACTCCCCAATCGGAGCTTGTCTCTGTAGGGGTTCTAGCGGATTCATATGGTTAGGTTAGGTTTGCCACCGATTTTCGCTGCACGCCCGGGTGCCCGGGTGCCCGGGGGTGCCCGGGTGCCCGGGTGCCCAGGTGCCCGGGTGCTCGGGCGTGCCCGGGGGTGCCCGGGTGCCCGGGGGTGCCCTATAGCCCTATTGGCCTGTAGCCCTATAGCCCAATAGCCCAATAGCCCTATAGCCCTATAGCCCTACAGCTCTATAGCTCTATAGCCCTATAGCCCTATAGCTCACTGGCCCTATAGCCCTATAGCCGTAAAACCATCTAGCTCTATAACCCTATACCCCTATACCCTATAGCCCTATAGCCCTGTAGCTCTGTTACCCTATAGCCCAATAGCCCTATAGCCCATACAGCCCTATAGCTCTACAGCCCTAAAAAGGTTATGATTGGGTTTTTCTCAAGTATCATTCATATTTGGGATGGACGAGTGTGCAGAATCACATGTAAATTGCAATGCGAAAAGGTGTGCCGTTAACTCCGGGGGGGGGGGTAGAGTCTATTCTTCTTTTAGGACGGAGAATCTAATAAGTGGTGCAATCTATGTTGTGTCATCGAGGTGCCTCAATCGACGTAGTGCAATCAGAATGGTGCAATCTTGTATGTGGTGCAATGTATGTTGTGCACTATAGCCGGCGACGGGGCGGCGGCGAGGCTTCGACGGGGCGGCGCCGGCGGCTGCATAGCCGCCAGAGCAGCAGACAATCAGGCCCAGACGACGGTTGGCGACGAGGCGGCGACGAGGCGGTGACGGCGGCCACATAGCCGCCAGACCGAAGACACGGCCCAGTTCCTTAGAAAAATACCTCGGACTGCAAACACTGTCTGGCGAATAAACATATGTGTAATATGTAGAGTATATGTATGTATGTGGGCATTGTGTTTTATGTATAGATATATGTATGTATACATATACACATATAGATATATGTATATATATATGCCAGTGCATAATTACACAGCGTGTGTATATCTATGAATGTATGTATGTATATATATATATATATAAAAACAGGCGTGCAAACGTGCCTATGTGTATATACATAGACATACACGTACATATGTTCACACACACATGGGTGTATGTGTGTATATATACTTCGTTCATGTCGGAGGAATCTGCAGGGAATATCAGAGGTGGGGGCAGTGGTGGTCGCAGTTGTAGAAGCAGAGCCAGTGTGTGAGAGTAGCGAGAGAAGCGAGAAAGAGAGAGCGAGAGAGAGAGAGAGCGAGACACAGAGGGACAGAGAGGGAGAGTGAAACATAAAGAGAGAGAGACATAGAGAGAAAGAAAGATATATACAGAGAGAGAGAGAGAGAGAGAAAGAGTGAGAGAGAGAGAGAGAGAGAGCAAGAAAGAAGGAGAGAGAGAGAGAGAGAGAAACATAAGGAGAGAGAAGGAACAGAGTGAGCTCGCGCCGCCCCCGCAAGCTCTGCATCTCCATTGGCTGGGTGTTCGTTTACGTGTACAGTGTCGAGGCCCGCCTCTTATGCTCAATCTGGGAGGGTGATCGCATCTCGTTCTTTGGAGGGTGGTCGCGCAGACACAGCAGCGGTGGTGGCAACGGCGACATGAGTAGCAACAACATCACCCACAGCATCACTAGCGACGGTGGCAGCGCAAGCGATGTCATAGTTGTACCCTCACTGCCACGGAATGCCATGTGCTTCTCAGGCAGGGCTCTCTCACGGGATGTGGGGAACGGGGGAATCACCCCTCCCTCTCTCATTTGCAGTGCTCCAGCCTGCCTTTCCTTTCCTCTCCATCTCCGAGTTCTTCCGAGAGTGTATGACGATGAGGAGGGGGATGAAAGATGATTATTCTGATTGTGAGGGGGGGTCGGATTTTTCACCAACGGTATATGACCACCTCTTGTCGGGCGTGACGAGCATCACCTCCACGAGATCCACCATGTGGAACACGAGGACCACGAGGAAAACACCGCAGGACACGCCTTCTTCAACGTCGAACACGGGGGGTATTGGACGAGGCCCATCTCGAAAACCACGTAAAAACAAAACCAACGAACCGCGGCGCGCATGACGTAGTGATACCACGAAGCCAGCACAAACATTAAATAGTTCGGCGGGGCACTCGATAAACAACAGCAAACAGATGAACCCAAGCCGATCGCCATCGAGTACGACCAGTGCATACAGCTGCGCAGCACCACATGGCAACCGTGGGCAACCCGTCACCCCCAAGACTGGACATGAATACGTGCCCCGAAAACTGTAATATACCTTGCAGCGATGAGGACGCAGAGGTATAACATCACCACGATGATAGATGTGACACAAACTGTGGACATTCCGCAAAATGTAGAGATGAATCAAAGGCATAAACACCCGCGCCGTCGCCCAAGCCTCCAGTGCCGCAAGTCCCGCGCGAGGAATCCCGTAGGAACCTCGGCAATATCCGCTGAAGGAAAACGGAACGAGTTTATGCCAGACCGCCAACGAAGACGAGGAAGGACTCGCACTCCCGGCGTAGCATACCCTGGCGTTCACCGCTGAGGAAAGCTTGAAGAAGAAGAAGAAGAAGAAGTCAAACACCAGCGACCAAGTCAGCACACGTGTGGTAAAATCCTGAGTCGTCACGGCGCAGGCAGCTAGCACGATTGAGCCAAAGCTGGCCTGAGCCGAGATGGTATTTGAAGGCGGGGGGGTAGGAAGGGGATTTGGAGGTGGAGGAGGAGTAGGAGGAGGATGCGGAGGCGGAAGGTCGGATGGCGGAGAACGACAAGGACATGGGGGATGGTATGTGCTGATGATGGTGATGACGATGATGACAATGATGATGATGCTGATGATGATGATGCTGATGATGGTGATGGTGATGATGATGATGATGATGATGATGGGGATGATGATGATGATGATGATGATGATGATGGGGATGATGGTGGTGATAATGATGATGAGGAGGATGATAACGAGGACGAGGATGAGGATGATGATGATTATGATGCTGATGATGGTAATGGTGATGGTGATGGTGAGGATGATGGTAATGGTGATGGTAATGATACTGCTGATGATGACGATGACAGTTACGATGATGATGCTGCTGCTGATGATGATAATGCTGCTGATGATGATGATGGTGGTGGTGGTGGTAATGATGATGCTGCTGATGATACTGCTGACGATGATGATGCTGATGATGACGATGATGATGCTGATGCTGATGCTGATGCTGATGATGCTGATGATTGTGTTGATGATATTGATAATGATGGTGATGATGATGATGATGGTGATGATGCTGATGATGATGATGATGCTGATGGTGATGATGAATGATGATGATGATGATGATGATGATGATGATGATGTTGATGTTGATGATGATGCTGATGATGATGAGTCTGAGTCTGATGATGATGATGATGATGATGATGGTGGTGGTGGTGGTGGTGGTGATGGTGGTGGTGGTGATGTTGATGATGAGGATGATGATGATGCTGATGATGATGATGATGATGATGATGATGATGATCATGATGATGATGATGATGATGCTGATGATGATGATGATGATGATGATGATGATGATGATGATGCTGATGATGATGATGATGATGATGATGATGATGATGATGATGATGATGATGATGATGAGTAGGAGTAGGGAGGAAGGGGATGGTATGGGATCAGGGGGAGGAGAGAGGTGGGGAGGACAATGAGGAGGAGGATGAGGAAGAGCACGAGGAGGAGGAGGAGTAGGAGGAGAGGTGTGGTGCCAGCGACTCTCCGCTGGTAGGCATGTGGTGGGACCTTTCTAATAGTGGGTAAACTCGGCGAGACGACATATGAGCATCATAGTATTCCTTTACACCAGAGAAAAGCCCCAATCAGTAGATGGTTCGAATCATAGTGATATGTACACTTGGATCGATTTTGAGATCGATAGTGATATCGATAGTGGACCGATAGTGAGGTCGATAGTAAGGTCGATCGTTAGGCCGATAGTCTAGTCGATTCAGTGAGATCGATAGTGAGATCGATCGTGGGATCGCTTGGCGATCTATAGTGAGATCGATTGTGAGATCGATCATGAAATCGATAGAGAGGTGGGTAATGAGATCGATGGGTGACACCGATCCATAGGGAGATCGACCAGGAACCCAGAAACCCTGTCAATCTCCGCTAGGACCCCTTCAGTGCAAGCACTGATTGTGGAACTACGTGCCAGAGTGGACCCTGGCGGCCGAGGAAGCCGCGCGAATGCTGCACAGAGAACCGCCAATCTTTTGGAGCACTAGCACCAGCAATAGCAAGTCGAGGCCGAGCTCCTGCGGGGCACCACGCGCCGCTGGCAGGCAGCATGTCGCGCCCTGTGCTGCAGGCCGGCCGACACGTGACGCACCACACTCGCCGTTGCTTGTCGCTGTTGTCAGCTGTGGCAGGCTCGCGACTCGCCGTTTTTCCATCGTTCCTGCGGTGGCGGCGCGAAAATGCGTGCATGGAGGAGCACATTCGCACCTAGTGCGGCTATCGTGTGGATCACTGTCCACGTCTAGAATCGGGGCCAATGGGTTTGGCAGGCTTTTTTGGCAGCTTTCTGAATGCCTTGAGCTTGGATCACGCTACGAGGTCTGTCGTACATCTGGAGGCGCAGAGGGCTCCTTGATTTACGCTGGGCGTATCACTCCGCCATGTTGTAGTCAGGGACTCAGCTGCTGTGGCCGTGGCCGCGAGCCGAGGCGCCCAGGTTGGCAGGTGCCTGCGCTCTCTGGCAGACCGCTGCGCTTGGCTTGTCTTGCTGCTCCCCGGAGAGATGGGAAGGCGATGTGGCCAGACCGCCTGTCTTGCGTCACCCTCGCCTCTTGGCGCGTGACAGCATGGCAGGTCGAGAGGGACTGGACTTTGGCGGTGGGCAGCACCGTGCGCGGCATTTGATTGCGGAATTGTCAATGCCATTCTGCCGAGCCGAGGCCGGGCTGCTGCCCACGAGCAACACCGGAGGCGCTTAACCCGCAACGGGTTTAGATGCTGGTAGTGGGGTCAAGAGGAAAAAAGGCAGGAGCAGGAGCAACACCACGAGCAGAATCTTGGGCAAGGAGGGGGACAGGACGAAGACGACTAAGACGGCGACGGCGAAGACGATGATCAGGAGCAAGAGGAGCCGAAATTAACGTACCCACCCTGCGCCCCGAGGTGCTGCCGACTTCCTGCCGGGCGTTTGGCAGCGCTGCAGGCAAGTGCCCATCCCGCCAGGGTGTGGGCGGGAGCGGGTCGTCGCCAACGGCACGGCACTTGTGCGTGAGCCCTGTTTGTATACCGAGCGCGCCCACTGGGTACAGAAGGGACTTCCGCCAGTTCGTCGCTCGAGATGGTCCTGGATGGCCACAGTTCGGCGAAAGTTTCATTTCAACGGGCGGTGCCAGTGCCTTGCTTGGCTTTGGCAGCCCGGGCTTGGCCCCACAGCGGAATCAATCGAATGCGTTTCCGAGGGGTAATTACTCGATTTGGCGCGCGAGGTGGGCGGCCGCCACTTTCATAGCACCGACGCCCTGCTCCCCAGCCAGCCAATGGGCCAGACTGCTGGAAGTGGTCAAGACCTGGGCCCGCAGTTCTGGAGTTCTGGAGGCTTTTGTAGTTGCTTGAGCTGATCTGTTGCTGGGAGGCTGCTTCAGCATATTTGTGCATGATCCCCTCGCGCCTCGCATGTACCAACATGGTCAGCACAGCTGGATGACACATCTGACTCCATGCACGTCATGTGTTGTCTTATTCTCGCTTGTCTTGGCACCTTTTGACCACGCAGCGCTCAATCGCATAGCATCTCAGCCGTGCGTATCTGTGTTGATTTCAGTGTTCTATGCGTGCGTGTCGGGATACATTTATCCGTGACAACGTCGACATATATGCACACAGTTGCATGAAACCTGTGCCGTCAGGCGACACATTCACTATCCAGGTAATCGTAGTTACGAAGCCAAGATTGTCGATGGAATTGCCAGCTGCATGGCCAGCCAACTCTTCATTCCCATGCCCCCCCCTCGAGGTAAGCCGCGGAAAGCAGGAGCATCCTGGTAAAACGTCTCGGTTGTAGCTCCAACCTGATCACACATCACATTATGATGTGTATCGATTGGGCGGGGTTGCGCGCAATTGTACGGAGGTTTCTGCGGGCGCGTCCGAAGCTTCGACGGCGAGAGGGAGAATGGAGGGGCGGCTGCGAGTGCGAATGTAGGGAATGCGGCGGAGGATGAGGTGGAAGTGGAGGAGTCGAAGGATGAGGATGATGTTGGTGGTGACGATGATGTTGATGCTGATGATGATGATGCTGCTGATGCTGCTGCTGATGATGATGATGGTGGTGGTGATGATGATGATGATGATGATGGTGCCGATGATGATGATGATGATGATGATGATTATGATGATGATGATTATGATGATGATGCTGATGATGATGATGACGATGATGATGATGCTGATGCTGATGCTGATGCTGCTGCTGACGATGATGATGGTGATTGTGATGATGATGATGACGATGATGATGTTGATGATGATGATGATGATGATGGTGCTGCTGATGGTGATGATGATGCTGATGATGATGCTGCTGATGATGATGATGCTGATGACGACGATGATGATGATGATGATGCTGATGATGATGATGATGATGATTATGATGATGATGATGATGATGATGATGATGATGATGATGGCGGTGGTGGTGATGATGACGATGAGGATGATGATGCTGATGATGATGATGATGATGATGATGATGAGTCTGAGTCTGATGATGATGCTGGTTATGATGAGGCTGATGCTAATGCTGCTGCTGATGATGCTGCTGATGATGATGATGTTGATGTTGATGTTGATGATGATGATGGTAAGGAGGAGGATGGTGATGAGGAGGAGGAGGAGGAGGAGGCGTAGGAGGAGGAGGGGCGGAAGAGGAGGATGAGGAGGAGGAGGAGTAAGGAGGGATGATGATGATGATGATGATGATGATGAGATGATGATGATGATGATGATGACGATGATGATGATGAGATGATGATGAGGATGATGATGATGATGATGATGATGATGCTGATGATGATGATGATGATGAGGATGAGGAGGAGGAGGAGGAGGAGGAGGAGGATGAGGAGGAGGAGGAGGAGGAGGAGGAGGAGGAGGAGGAGGAGGAGGAGGAGGAGGAGAGGAGGAGGAGGGGATGATGAGGAGGAGAGGAAGAGGAGGAGGAGGAGGAGGAGGAGGAGGATCAGGAGGAGGAGGAGGCGGAGGAGGAGGACGAGGAGGAGGAGGAGGAGGAGGAGGAGGAGGAGGAGGAGGAGGAGTAAGAGACGGAGGAGGAGGGATGGGAGGGGTGACGGCGGGTCCAGGTGGTGGAGAACGAGGTGGATCTTGACTGAATGCAGTTCAGGCTGATGAGTAGGTCGACCCTGCCAAAGCAAGTATACCCTTGTGTCCTGTGTTTCGCGGCCCATGCCTCCTTGCACTCCTATGGTAATTCGGCCCTCGGAAGGGTCGCGTGTCCTCTCGCGTGTCCTCTCCATGCAGTCCCGATTGTACATTGAACTGAGGCAAGTGGGGCCAGGAGGAGAGGGAGGGAGAGCCGCCGCCAGCCATGGCCTTCGGCCGCCTGGGGTCCATCGCCTCGCCCCTGGTCTTCGAGGCCCTGCTGGAGGAGAGCAGGGTACCTCTCTCGCCGCCGTGCTGCCCCGCCCCTGTGCTGCTGCTCCTCGCTCTCTGCGACGCTCCCGCGAGTTTGCCTGGAAGGGGGAAGGACGAAGAAGAGGAGGAGGATGAGGAGGATGAGGAGGATAAGAAGGAGGCGGAGGGAGAGGCGGAACGGGGGACCGATGCACCTCCTCCTCCTCCTCCTCCTCCTCCTCCTCTCCCCTCTCACTCGAAGCTCCCGCGCAGCCCGCTCGGGCTTCCTTGCGTGTTTCAGGGGGACGGGGATGTCCCAACGCCAATACATGTGTATGCCTGCATGTACTTATGTATGTATGTATGTATGTATGTATGTATGTATGTATGTATGTATGCATGCATGCATGCATGCATGCATGTATATATATATGTATGTGTATGTTTGTATGTATGTATATGTGTGCCTGTATGCGTGTATGTGTGTATGTGTGTACGTATGTATGTATGTATGTATGTATGCATGTATATATATATATATATATATATATGTACGCACGTGTGCGTGCATGCATGAATGCCCACACGCACACACGAACGAAAGTATGTATGCATGCATGCATGCATGTTTGTATGATTACGCCTATGCGTATACCTTTATGCACTTACATGCAAATTTATGTTTATGCATGTGTGTAAATTTGCATATGCATGTATGCATGCATATATGCACGTATGTATGAATGCATGTGTGTGTATGTATGCATGTATGCATGTATGTTCATGCATATATGCATGTGTGCATGCGTGCATGCATGTAAATAGGTGTTTGTATACGTGCATACATGTACATGTATGTGTGTACACGCATCTACACACATACATAAGTATGTTGCCAGTTCTCCATGAGGAGGGGAGCTGTGGTAGCCCAATTCATCGGCAACATGTGTTCTTGTTCATCCTGTTGTTGTCCTTCTTGTTCTTCCTGTAACAGTCTCTTGCTCAGTTTCAAGTGGTGGATTGGAGATGTACTTCTTGTAGCCATGGCGAGAAATGTGATAATATGCCGTTAAGTTGTGACTGTAATCGGGATACTACGAGAGAGAGGGCTGGCCGGCGGGCGGGCGGGCGCTGTACCTTTTTCCTGATAGGAGCCAAGGCAGCTGCGGGTATGTACATGCTAAGGAAGCTGAGGCTACGCAGGTGTGTGACTAAATCAACTCTCCCCGCGGCCTCCCCGGCGAACTCCACTCGCGCGGCTGGGACACTCAGTGCATAGCACCTCAGTGCCAGGCGGCTCACCTCATCCATTGTGGACGTACTTGAACCGCGATTGTTGGTCTCGAGTAGGTACCTGCGGCATAGCCGTGTTTCCCTCCTCGTTTTCTTCTTCTCACCTCCAACTGTGGTCGTCGCGGCTCCAGCTGTCGTCACCATGCCAGTTGCCTGAGCCCCAGCTCCAAGACGACCACCAGTTCCTGGCACTTCCCTGCCACAGAGGAGAGAAGTCCGTATTGTGCTGCTCCGTGTCGGTGTATGCACGCCGAGAGTGGGCATCCTCCGTGCGGCGCCGCGTGGTCGTTGCCTCAACGCGCCAGGGCGCGTCCAGCCGGAAGTCTCTGGCTGCGGGCGGTCTCGCGGCCGGTGCGGAATTTGAAGAGGCAGCTCCCGTGCTGTAGGACGTATCCCACTGGGTCGGGTTCTCAGCTCGGCGTCGCCTGGATCCTGACTGATCATCTGGCGCGACTGCTTGGCCTCTTGGCTCCCTTGCCGTCGCTCTCGCTTTCCTTGCCCTTGCCCTTGGCGTCATCCGACATCTTGCTGCCGTAGTGCGGCCCTCAGGCCTCGTAGAATTCGGCCTCTTTGCTCTTTGGACGGACGGCTCACCAGAGGAGGCACCGGCCCCGACATAGTCTGTTGGTGTCCGTGCCCTCGCTTTACGTGCTTTCGGCATTGGAGCCCTCGGGAATTCCGCCTGCGGCCAGTGATCCTCTATTTCCTTTTCCATGGCAGCTTTCATTTGACTGAGCGGTTCGACTTCCTTGGCCCCCGGGAACGTTCGGCACCATGCGGACCATCCTACGCCGGGCTCATCATTGTGGCGTTCAGCTGGATGGTCGTTCCAGGCGTCTTCAGGTGCGCGTTCTGGAACTTGATCCACCTGCGAGCCAACCTCCTTGTCCTCTCCAGCCTGTAGGGATTCTGCGGTACAGTTAGCTCGTCATCTGGGGACGTAGGCAACCAGGCAAAGACCGTCATACTATTGCTGTGTAGCGCAGTCTTTCCCTGCAGCGCATTTTCTCTGCGGGTGGTTATGCCTCCAGCGCCAGCGTCCTTCCACCTGTGCTGTGGTCTTGCCTGCGCACGGTCGATGTCGGAGCCCGTCCACTTCCTCACCGTAAGGTCAGGGGCATAGCCCTCTCGATCCCGTTTGGCCAGGCCGATTTCACGGTAGTCAGTCTTCGGCCTGATTGTGTCGGGTTCGGTGATGATAGCGCTGTGCTGCACAGGTGCCCTACATGTAAGGCAACTCAGTGTCCCCAACCGATTGCGGCAATCGTTGCTGCGCAGGAGGCAGCCATCGTCCCATTCATTAGGCGCGCATAGCGCAGCCTTTTCTCAGTGGAAGCGAGCGCATCATCTTCATCTTCGCCGGGTATCCGAAACAGGGCTTGTTGCTGCTTAATCCAGTCGATGCAAACCGTGTCGAAGTCAGGGTAAACTTTGAGCGCAGCGCACCGACGGTCATAGACCAACGTCCACGATACCCGAAGACGCTGTATCCCACACACAGTAAGACGCATAATCTGATGAACGTCGCCCCAGTTGGGGCGGAATGTGGTCGCCAGCGAGCCGCCGTGTTGGATCCAAGCGTCTTGGTTCTCGAAGATGCGGGGCTCGAAAGTGAGCACGTGCGACTCCGAGAGCGGGCACGGATCAACCAGACCAAAAACACTGGCATCCAAAACCTGGCCAGCCACCGCTCGCGCCCATCCTCCAGGTCTAAGCCACGTCGGTAGCTCCTCGTGCATCTTGCCGCATTCACCTCCCTGCGCTTTCTGGACCAGCCTGACTGCCCCATAAGACCCCCGCTCTGCGTCTCTAGCGACTGGGCCCTTCGGGGCGGTATACGGTCCAAGCTGGGTAGGTAGACAGGTCAGGAAACGGTATTGCCGAACGCCCTGGAGGTCCCTCTGCGGTGATGCGTTATGCCCGGTCATAGATCTTTTCATCGAGGCATCGTCCAATTGGATGACAGGCACCATCGCGGGTACGTTCTTGTCGACATAGTCGTCCCCAGTCGGTTTGCGCCCGGAACTATCGTCCCCATCTTCTGGCTCGGCAATTGGGTAGTCGTCAGCATTCGTCATGTTCACGCCGAGAATTTGGACAGCATTGCGAGGCAATTAAGCGGGGGCGTGCATTAAGCGTGCCCACATTTTATCATCGCCCACGTCATCCAACATCTAGACAATAACGGACGCCTCGACCCACCCCCCTTAACTACGGACATGGGCTGCACTGTGCATCGCTGCATTTAGCTATAAGCGAGCCAAGGCGCCCAATTTCTTCCACGTCCATGCCCGGGTACCACGCAAGCGCGCAGTTCACAGGCAAGGTTCATCGGGATGAGGCGAAACTCGGGCGACGGGAGGCAGTGTGGCTCGACCGCGTTGCAGCGGGCGCGCAACAACCAGCGTGCCTTTGCTCCGTCCTCAGCGGACAAGCGTCGCAGGAATTTAAGCGGCGGATCACCCGCTAATTCACGGGCCCATTCCAGCGTCCGCTTCTGTGGTAGCCGCTGCCTCTCTTCTCTCTATCTGCGAAGGACTGTGGGCCGGTATCATGATGCTCTTCCAGAGGCCAAGGTGGTTAGCTGCTTATTCGCGGGCTCGCCAGGCTGGGTCAAAGTCGATTTCATTAAGAACTTAAAACAGCTCGGATTCCCATGGGAACTATTCGACGTTCGGGCCTCGGCCCTCGGCGGTGGCCGCGCGGGCCCGTGTTGCTTCGCGTGAGAATGTCGCCCAGGGGGGTCTTCAAGTTGCCCGCCGCGCCGCAGGGTTCCGGCAGCTCCTCATGGACGACGAGTTGTCGACCCATTTCGTGTTCCTCCGTGGTTGGTATTCCACTTGCTTGTTGTTCTCGTTGGAGGCTGCTGCGTCCCAGGTCAGCGCGGCGTTTGGCGAGACCAGGGCTTTCATGCAGACGGGGCACCCCGAGTGCTACGCAGTTGGTTGGCAAGCCAGGGCGCCCGCCCTTCTGCGCCCGAGTTGCTCGACGCCCTTCCGGGCCCACCTGCGCCAGCGCCTGGGCCGGTGGACGAGTCCCACGCTCCCCGGCCACAGGGTGGACAAGCGGTTGGCTAACGTGCAGATTCTCTCGGAATTCGTGGTGCCCCGCATCCTCGCAGTCTACATTCGGACCGCATGCAATGGATGGGCAATTTCCCGCCGACTCCAAGGACGGGGCTGCTGCGTGCTAATTAGGCTGCAGCGCTTTCGACTCGATCGAGCACTACACCCGTTGCGGGGTCGACCACTCGCTTTGCCCCAGATTTCTGTGACTTGTTCGCCCGTCTGCGGAGCTGGCGCTGGGCGCCTTCATCGGGATCGCCGTCGACGGCGCTGAGTCGCGGGGCAATCCGGCATTGTCACAGGTGGAGTGCTGCGTGCTCCGGGCCTTGGGTCTGCACGCGCTGCACAGGACGCGCGATCAGATGAGGCACGGTTTGGCGCAGAGTGAGGCGGCGAATCTGTTCAGAGGTTTTGCAATAATCCACGCGCAACCACCCCCGATCGCAAAAAAATCAAAGCCAGGCTTTCTGGGCCGCTCCGGCCCGCCTTCTCGTGGAGCGCGCGGTCTCCCCCCCTCTTTCCCCTCCCTTTTTCTTCCAGCCCGAGGCGTGCGGGCGCCCAGATTGACAGGAAGTCGTCGGGTGATGGCCTCCACAGCCATTGAATATCTACTTTGGCTTTGGCTGTGACGGCAAGCGCTTAAGCGGACAGGAATCGTTTTTTCCCCAGTGCGCTTGATCTGCAGCATCAAGAGAAGTCTCGTGTTCAGGTTCAAGTGGTGGATTGGAGATGTACTTCTTGTAGCCATGGCGGGAAGTCTGATAATATGCCGTCAAGCTGTGGAGGGCCGGCTGGCCGGCGGACGGCGGGCGCTCGCACGTTTTTCCGGATCGCAGCCAAGACAGTTGCGGGCATGAACATGCTCAGGAAGCTGAGGCTACGCAAGGGTGTGACTAAATCAAATACATTTATATTAGGCATGTACGTATGTTTGCATGTACGTATGTGTGCATGCATGTATGTCTGAATGCTTGCATGCATGTATGTATGCATGTGTGTATGCGTGCATGTATGTCTGTATCCACGTACGCACGCACGTATGTAGATACGCATGTGTATTTATGTACATGTGTATGTACATGTGTAAGTATTTGTATGTGCAAATGTACGTGTGTATGTATGCATATGTGTATGTACGTATGCATGCACGTACGCACGTACGCATGTACGTATGTATGCATGCATGTATGCATGCATTCATGTATGTATGTATGTATGCATGTATCTATGTATGCATGCATGTGTGTACGCATGTAGTTTAATGCATGCATGTATGTGTGTATGTGCATGTATATGTATGTGTGCAGGTGTATGTTCATGCATATGTTCATGACTGTGTATATGTTTGTGTATGTATGTGTAAGCCTGTATCTCTGTATTTGTGTATTTATGTATGCATGCATGCATGTATATATGCATGTGCTGTACGTATGTGTGTATGCATGCGTGTGTGCATGTACGTGTGTATGTGTATATGTCTGTATGTATGTATGTATGCATGCATGCATGTATGTATGTCTGTACGTATGTATGTATGCATGTATGTATGTATGTATGTATGTATGTATGTATGTGTGTGTATGTATGTGTGCGTGTATGTACGCATGTTTGTACTGCAATGTAATGTAATTTAAGGTAATGTAAGCCAATGTAAGCCAATGTAATGGAATGTCATGCATTGTATTGTATTGCAGTGTGATGTATGTATGCCAGTATGCATGTATGTATGTATGTATGTATGTATGTATGTATGCGTGTATGTATGTATGTATGTATGCACGTATGTATGTATGTATGTATGTATATTTGTGTATGTGTATCTGTGTATGTATGTATGAATGAAGGAATGCATGCCTATATGTATGAATGTATGTATGTAATTCATATGTGTATATGCATGTATGTAGGTGTGTGTGTAGGTATGTGTGTATGTATGCATGCATGCATGCATGCATGCATGCATGTATATGTGTATGTGTGTGTATGTACGTATGTATGTATGTATGTATGCATTTATGTATGGACGTACGTACGTACGTACGTATGCACGTATGTATGTATGTATGCATGCATGTATGTATGTATGTATGTATGCATGCATGCATGCATGCATGCATGTATGTATGAGTGTATGTATACGAAAAGAGGTGGAGTGGCATACGGGACGGCCGCTGGTGTCCCGAAGGGCGTGCACCAGCCCAGAAAGAGCCCCGCGAGGCCCCCAAATCTGGCCCAGTAGGCTCCCGGAGAGGTGCTTGAGAGGACTGGTGGCGCTCGGAAGCCGAGCGCGTGAAAGGAGGGTCGTTTTGGGATGGAAGTGGTGGCAAGAAGGCGCCCCGGCCACAATTTACTTGAACGCCCCTGAGGGGGCAGACACCGCCGCACCAGTTTTTGTTGGAAGCCGGAGTTTCTTTTTGGGGGGGTTCAGCACGGCGCCGGAGGGTCCAAGAAGACGCGAAGAAGAGCCCAAGAATATCCCGGGGCCCCGGAGGGCCCCAAGAGGGCCCGAAAACGGGCGAAAAGGGCGCCCAAAGGTGTCGAAAACGGCGGAGGAAATCGAAGATGGATACAGAGAGGCAGCAAAGAGCATCGCCAGTTAGTTTTGGGGCCTCGCTGGGGCTTCCAGGGACCTCCTGGGCGCGCCCAAGACCGCTCGCGACAGCACCAAAAAATGAGTCCAGACGGGCGTGGAGGGTCTCGAGGCTGTCAGGGCAGCCGCCGAGAGCATCCGCAGGTTCCAAGATGGCCGCAAGAGCCCGCGGAGATACACGGGAGCTCCAAGAGATGTGCCAGGAACAGCCCGGTAAGGACAGAATCGTCAAAATCCGATATGTTTTACACATTTTTTTGTTTTTTGTTTTTTGTTTCTCTTCCTTGTTGGGGGTTTCTGGTGTATGGGACTCGAAGAGAGGTGGAATGGCATCCGGGGCGGCTGCTGGTGGCCTGAAGGGCGGTCAAGATCAGCCCAGAAAGAGCCCCGAGAGGCTTCCCAAACGGGCCCAGCAGGCTCCCGGAGAGGTGTCTGAGAGGGCTGGTGGGGCTCGGAAGCCGAGCACGTGAAAGGGAGGTCGTTTTGGGTCGGAAGTGGTGGCAAGAAGGCGTCCTGGCCTCAGTCCGGGCCTATGGGCCGGCGGAGTGAGCAGGCCGCGGGGGGGACGGGTTGCCAGGGCTCTGAGGAAGGGCATGGGTACGAGGAGTGCGTGGGCAAGGGACTGAGGGGAAATCCTTCGTGCAGACCATGCGGCGGAGATCTCACACGCCGTGCCTGGTGGGGCGGCGGATCGCTTCGCTCATTCCGTCGGCCCTTGTTGAGCCATCGCAGGCGTTTGCCTGCGCGTTCGTGGCCTCTTGGGGCCATTTGGGGGCCTTTTGGGGGTTCTTTTTGGGCCTCTTGGGGGCCTCGTGGGGCCTCCAGGTGGCCTTCTGGGCTCTCTTGGGGGGCTCTTGGGGGCTCTTGGGAGCCTCTTGGGGCGAAAGGCTCTTATTGGTGCTTCGTGTTTCCCCTCTTTGGCCCCTCTTGGGGCCGTCTTGGGGCCCTCCTGGGCGATCTTGGGCGCCTCTGGGGCCGTTTTGGGGCCCTTCTGGACCGTGTTGGTGCCATCTGGGGGGCCTCTCGGGCCGTTTTGGGGCGATCTTGGGGGCTCTCTGGGGCCATCTTGGAGCGTCGGAATTTGTCGTCGCCTCTCACCTCTGACAAATAGCACAATGCGGAGCACTCGCTTTGGCCTTACAAGTGCACTTGACTCCCGAGCACATGATACCATGCGGGTCACACGCGCGCGAACGTTTCAAAAGACTTTCGAAACCGTTGGTGTTCAAACGATTTCAGACAAAGGACACCACTAACGAAACAACATTGGTTTGTTCAATCATATGCTAACATTTTTCTGTGCGCAAGTCAGAAAACAGGAAGAGGAGGTGGAGGAGGAGGTGGAGGAGGAAGAGGCGCCCTCGGAAGGGTGGGGGCCCAGGCTCGGACCACCCAGAGCCGCTGCGCAGCTTACTGCGCAGCCGCCCATGGACACCTCTCCTCTCTGCCAACAAACCTGCCGTCGTCTCCGCCGTTGCCTTGGTCCCCTCTCTTCTCCTCCCAGCTGCCTCGTCAGGAGGAATGTTTACACTCCTGCCCATACGCACGGCTTTTGGCCAGGTTAGAGGGGGCTTTCGACGGTTTCAGTCGCTGACAGACAGGCAAGTAGAGAGGATGCCCTGGGTTTCGTGTCGCTGACCGGTCCGCGGCTGGGGAGGCGCGGCACGACTCCAACGTCAACCTTCTCAGCTTACCAGGAGTCCCAGCGCCAACTCGCTATCGTTGCACTGCCCCTTTGCAACTCAGAGGCCTCTGACTGTACGTAGTGTAAAGCCGACTAGATGCAAATGCTGCTTCCAGTTCACCGGCAAGCCCTACCAGTTCTTCGCATCGGCGAGGCCTTCGTGGCACCCAGCCGCGCACACGCCCGAAGCGGGAGTGGATCTTCAGGCGGGAGGAGGTGGCACGGAGAAGCAGGAACAAGTGGGAGCAGTTTGAGGGTGAAGGCGCGACGGCGGGGAGGGGTGCGGGAAAGCGTGCTGCACCTGTCTGATTCCGCAGAGGCAGGAGAGAGACGTACATCATCTTCAGCAGATGCCGCGGAGGGACTGGGTATAGGTCAGAGGGGGGAACGCGAAGAAGTTGGGTGGCTTTGGCCCATCGGTCGGGGCGGTCGAGAGGGCTCGCTTGGCGCTTTAGGGTGGACTAGGCTGGTTTGGTTAGGATCGGAGGAAAGAGGATGAGGAGGGCGATGAGGAGGAGTTGGAGGTTACACAAGCATCGAGGGGGCGTCTGTGACCAAACACCGCTCGGCAGATACGGAAGGCCGCACACCTGCAGCTGTGGGGGCTCAGAAGAACACCCACATGGCCTGCCTCGACCCCACCTTGGACCTGCAGGCACGAACGCCGATGGGCGTCAGCGCTCCTGGGTGGGCCAGACCGAAAGCTTGGCCCATGTGGCCGCCCTCCAGCGCCGCGAGGGAGTCGTCGGCGAGGACGGACTGGCCCTTCAGGAGAGGAGACCACCGGCCGTGCGGAGGTCGAGGAGGAGGCTCTGGACGTGCACGATCACCTGCCGCTCCTCCTCTTTCTCCAGGATGCCAGCGCACGATCGCGCCATGCCAGCCCCGGCGAGGGCGAGCAGGTCGCTGGGCGTCGTGCCCGACCGAGTGGACAAGGCACCCGCCCACGCCTGCCAGGCGGTGTCCAGACGCGGTACGGCCGCATTGCCACGCGCCCCCCCCTGCATCGGTCGCCGCCGCAGCCGCCTGCCCTAGAGATGCCGAACAGGCGCGCGATGCGGCTGCCGCGCCGTCGCCACGCCGCCGCCGCGCGCGATGGCACCACACGGAGGAACTGCAACCAGCCCAGCTGTCATCGGGCAACTTGGAAGTGGTCGAGCCGCCCCGCCCTCCACCACAATGCGATCGGAGGCAGCCTCCTCAGCACCAGCTCCGCTGCGTCGCGCACGTCGGCGGCGCGGCCGTGGCACAGTGCCCACGCCATTGGGCGGTCCAGGCGCCGCGGGATCACGAGGAGGGGCTGCAGGCGGCTCTGCGCGAGGCGGGAACTCCCTCCGCCCTGGCGGCGTTGCCACCGCCACGCCCGCGCCGCCGCCGCCTCGAGGGGGCCGCAGAACCAGGCGCTCGCAGGGCAGGCGCCGCAGCGCGGCCGCGAAGCGCAGCCGCCGCAGCGTGCAGGAGGTCCTCGGTGGATCTCAGGAGGCGCACTCCCGCAAAGGAATGCCCCGAGGTCAGCACTGACGCCGCGGAGCGTGCCCAGCGTCTCTAAGCCACGGGCGTGGCCAACCCAAGGGCGGCCGCGGCCAGCGGCACAGGGATGAACCAAGATGGGTATTATGAAACTACAGGGAGACGGAGGAGGAGGAGGAGGAGGAGGAGGAGGAGGAGGAGGAGGAGGAGGAGGAGGAGGGGAAGAGGAGGAGGAGGAGGAGGACGAGGACGAGGAGAAGGAGGAGGAGGAAGGAGGAGGAGGAGGAGGAGGAGGAGGCGGAGGCGGAGGCGGAGGCGGAGGCGGAGGCGGAGGGCGGAGGCGGAGGCGGGAGGCGGAGGCGGAGGCGGAGGCGGAGCGGAGGCGGAGGCGGGGCGGGGCGGAGGCGGAGGAGGAGGCGGAGGCGGAGAGCGGAGGCGGAGGCGGAGGATGATGATGATGAGGAGGAGGATGAGGAGGAGGAGGAGGAGGAGGAGGAGGAGGAGGAGCAGGAGCAGGAGCAGGAGGCAGGCAGGAGGAGGAGGAGGAGGAGGAGGAGGAGGAGGAGGGGAGGAGGCGGAGGCGGAGGCGGAGCGGAGGGGCGGAGGCGGAGGCGGAGGAGGAGGAGGATGAGGAAGAGGGAGGAGGAGGAGGAGGAGGAGGAGGAGGAGGAGGAGAGGAGAGGAGCGGTAGGGAGGAGGCGGAAGAGGAGGAGGAGGAGGAGGAGGAGGAGGAGAGGAGGAGGAGCAGTAGGAGGAGGAGGAGGAGGATGAGGAGGAGGAGGAGGAGGAGGAGGAGGGAGGAGGAGTAGGGGAGGAAGAGGAGGAGGAGGAGGAGGAGGAGGAGGGGGAGGATGGAGGAGGAGGAGGAAGGAGAGAGGAGGAGGAGGAGGAGGAGCAGAAGGAAGAGGAGGAGGAGGAGGAGGAGGGGAGGAAGAGGAGGAGGAAGAGGAGGAGGAGGAGGAGGAGGAGCAGGAGGATGAGGAGGAGAATGACACATACGAATAAGCACACTTACCATATTCATAAGACGACTCGCGCTATCAAAGGTACTAATAATTGTTAGTAGTGGCACTATTACAAGTAACATCAATGATGCTAGGACGACGAATATTACTACTAGTACTAATACCTAATTATAACATGGATCATACTAATGCCATTTTTACTACTCGTACTACCACTCGTACCATGAATACTCATTCTAATATGAAGAAAAGCTGCCAATACTAATACTACCAATACTCATACAATTTCGTATACCCCACACACTACTACTAATACTAATTCGACTATGAATAATCGTAAGAACAATGCTACTACTACTATAATAATAAGGCGGAGGAGGAAGAGGAGGAGGCGGAGGAGGCGGAGGAGGGGGAGGATGATGAGGAGGAAGAGGAGGAGGAGGAGGAGC